ACAATGGGCTCTAAAGGAGGCTGTGCTTGGAGAAGGTTAGTGATGTTAAGCTGCCTAAAAATTCAGCAATCTTGTCACTTTAGATTGTTGTGTCACAAAGATCCAAAGTGAAAAATGGGGGAAACACTTTAAATGTGTTTACATAGAGTTTGCCCCGTTGCAGATTTTTTTATTTCCATTGTATTGTGTTTTATAACATCACACATAAATCAAAGAAAACACAAGTTAACACAAGATGTAGTTTTTAAATGTATTTTATTATTAAGAAACATTTCAGAATGAATTAGTTGGGCTTATCCCGTCTGAGTTCAGTTTCTTTAGCCACGCCCCAGCCTGATTACTGCCACACCTGTTCTTGATAAAGAAATTATATTTTAATGTGTTTGATGTTCTGAAACATTAAAATCTGACAAACATCCCCCAAAAAAAATAAAAAAGTTGGATATTTGGAGCCTGTTTGAGAGAGTAACATTTTACAAGTTACCATGAAAACACCTTTGATCATTCCCTTTGGTCTGTTTCCGAAATCTCAACACATCCAACACTCCTGTGTTCTCTAAAGCAGACTTTTTATCTGTCAGCTTTGATTTCATGGGTTTGATGAGTGCTGCTGTACTACAGTAGCTCAGCTTTTGAATCTTATCAGCTTTTTTCAGACAGTGCATCTCTGCATCAAAGTCACCAAAAAAAAAACCCTAACTGATTTCTCTGTTTCTTTGCCTTGGGAGCTTATTCCTCTCCCAGGTCATTGTGTAAATGACAAGGTCTGAATAATGATAATAAATGTGAAGTGGTGTGTGTGAATGTGTGTGTCTGTGTCTTCCCTTGACAGGACAGAAGAAATGGGGCTCCTGATTGGTTTCTGCTTGCGAGGGGTGGCGAGCTGTGTGAACTCTGGTGCTCTCCGACCGGCGCATTTTCATGGAAAGCATCTCTTTGGGGGCCTGCAGGTTTTCAATGCACTCATTTACACATCAAAACAGCCCAGGAAAGGGATAGTGCTCAAGGGTTTGTGGGGTGAGGGATGTAGAAAGAGGGGAGGGCAGGGTAATGAAGGATGCTTTATCTTCCCTTTTTTTACCCTCAGGGGTGGGCAGGCCTTTAAGTATACGAGGGAGGCGCATTGATGCCATAATGATCGCCTTTAATCAGACCCGTGACCAGATGAAGGGATTTCTCCTCAGCAGACAAAAACATGGTGTCAGCAGCTGAAAGTGGGATCAGCGCTGAGGTGTTTTCACGCTTTTTGTTTTGTTTCAAAATTGGAAATAAACTTTACAAATCCTGCATAAATGCTCGTGTTCTGCCCAGCCCAGGAGTCAATAAATACTGGTTGGGTTAACAGGGAGCACAATCAGAATATTCTGAGAAACCCTGAGGGGAAAGTGTTGCCTTTTCTGGGAGTAGACTGCCTCTTGAACCAGACAAGGTTGCTGCTCAGTGACTCTGACACTATTTAACCTCCTGAGCCAGAGAAGAAGAAAAACAGCTCGGAAACTCTGCCAAACTAAACCTCTCGAGCGATACTGAGCTGACTTACTCCTGAATTTGGATGTTACTAGAGGTGGGGTGGGGTCTTATTTAAAACAACTTTCTGCTCATTGGTTGTCTATGCCTGTGCACTGCTGACCCCAGGTGTGTGTGTGCGTGTTGGGGGAAGGTGTTCCCGGCAGGCACATTTCTGGCGCCAAAAGAACCACAGTTCAAACAAACTCCGGTTTTGGTATGAGCTTTTCTTTCATACTTCTATGTGACGCTGTGTGCTGCGTGATTCCTTTCCTCTGTGAATGAAAGGAGCTAAAAATAGCTGTCGGTGACCTGGAAATGCAGCGATAGAATTCAGATAAGAAGAGGGGAAATGTCAAAAAGATATTTAAAAAATACCTCCGTTTGCGGCTTAACAGCTCATTTTTCTTTTATATTTAGCAATATCTAGATTGATAGTGGAAAATCAAATGAGTAATGCTGAGGGAGGCGAAAAAGTTCAAGAAAAGCACAACTTCCCCTCTACAGCCACCTCCTTGCTATCTAATCAACTCAGCACAGGTGGGAAGAGCCGGTTTGTCTCATGCAGCAAGTGCTCTGCCTCACCGGGGTCACGCCACTGGAGTGTAAACTATGGGGAAAGCACAGAGCACCCCCCCATACACACACACACACATTTTCCCATTCAGTAGGTGTCCGTGAACTGGAGCATGTGGCTGAAAAGCAGCCAGCCGAGGCTCATGGCTGCACGAGAGCGGACTCCAATCAAAACAGCCCCTTTTTAATAGTTAAATGTGATCCAGTGTCAGAGTCCAGAACGTGGAGCAAGCTCCTGCCAAGCTATGGACGAGGTCTACAATGCCCGAGTAATGAAAACAGAGGAGGGGGGGTGCGTTGGTAGTTGCCCATATGTTGCTCTGCCAAAGGATGGGGAATAAGTAATTTAGGTTAACTCAGGCGTTGCAAATCTACGGCGGCTGGAAATGTGGTTGATTTACTACTGAGACATAAAGCATCCACTGCTGGAAATGAACTTAAATGCTTTGCAGGAGTATTAATAGTTTTTGTCCAGTAACAACCACAGGCTTCATTATATTTGGTCGGGTTTTAATGTTGTAGATCAACACACCGTAGTGCGTATCTGTGGTGGAAAGAAAAGGATTCATGGTTGTGAGGAAAAAGTCTGACAAGAATCATATTTAATTTGTTTTAAGACTGTTTGGGTCAGCAGTGTATGGCTCCATTCTTTGCTGCAGTTACAGCTGCATCTTTACGTTAAAGCTCATTTAGGTTGAATAGGTTGGATCTTTATTCCGCAATTTAAAAGTCTGATGGAGATTCGACACCGGATCTCAGTCTGGACTTTTGCGCCATCTAAAGTTGTGGATGTGTTTTTATTGAAACCATTGTGGTTGTAGGTTTAAGGTTTTTATCTTGTTTAATCCATCGGTTACGCCCAGCTTTCTTGACCATGCTAAACCAAACCCCGATGGGGCAAAGTATTCATGGTGATGTGCAGTTCTGGTTTTCCTTTCAAATATATATTTTTTAATGCATTGTGATTGCACAATAACTGCTTTCATCCTGGCACTCAACCAAAAAAGGCCAGATCTGCGGTGTGGAGAACTAATAAATGTCTTGTCATCAGATTCTCCCAGCCAAGCCGTGGATCTCTGCAGCTGCTCCAGAGCCACCAAAGGCTTCTGGCCTGCTGCCTTCAAATGGTGAAAACAGCCTGACTCGGCTAAAAATAATAATAATAACCTGCCCTGACCCCTCTGCTATGTTTATTTAGATTTTTCTGATGCATGTTCGTTCAATAACTGAGTCATTCAGACTGATTTAAACAGAAATAAAATAGAACTACAAGGGGCTCAAAGTGAGCAAACTCCAAACATGCAGTTGTCTTTGGAGGAAGCTTGAAATAAAAAGTATATTTCCTCTCTAAAAAAATTTTGATTTTCTATAAGAGTGTGGCTGTGAAGTGACAAAATGTGGAAAAGAGTTATATTTCAATTCCACTTCACTTCGGGGAGAAAGATTGCCCTTTATCCTCTGCTATCTTTATTTGACAGCTTTCCCCTTTAGCAACCTTTGAGATCAAACTGTCACACAGTGAAAGGCAAACTTTTACATTTCAACCTCGCTGCTAAAGATTAAACAAATGGCTTACATGCTTTTTTGGCATCAAACTTCTACCATAACTAAAAAAGAAATATATAAAAAAAGCAGCTAGGGTTTCACATGAATAGTTTTTTTTTTGAGTTGCTAAGAGTAACGGGATGTTTTGATGTAATCTATGAAACTTATATATGAATACTTTCTGCACTGCTGACAACATATCTGAGCAATCCTTTGTGCTTTTGCATGCATGCTCTACAAGATCTGAGAGACCTGATGTAAAAAATCAACAAAAAAAAAAAAGTTAAAGCAAACAACCTGTCAACCTCTGCAGATGTCAGCGAGCACAGGCCTCCTTCACCCCCTGCTGACAAACCAGTAACCCAACAAAAACACGCTCCTGGGTCACAGTGCAGCTTCTTTTTCCAAGCTGACTGCCATGATGTTGCTGCTTGCTGGGAGGTGGTGACAAAGCAGGCAATCACTGGCCGGCATCATAAACAGTAAAACAACCTGGTGCGTGGGGTTGCAATTTGTGTTGGCAACACAGTCCTGCTGCCTCCTAATGTAAAAGCTATTTATTTTCCCTCTTTTATGGACCATCTGAGGACATGGGGGCTCTCATGCTTTATAAAACCGACTTTATTAGAGAAAAGCCAGTGGCTAGAACCTACTTAGAGCCCTTACTTAATGAAAATAATGTTTGACATTCTCCATCTCTGGATCAGTCAGTCATTATTTATAAGTTGCAGTCATTTCTGCAGGCATAAAGGTGAATTGTTCTCGCCAAACAAAATGTTTCGTAACAGTGCAATGCCGCTAATCCGTGTCAGATATTCCTGGAACCGCAAGCCTGCGTTGAAACCGAAAGTTCACTTAATAGTCCATCAGTTCAATGAGCTGCTTCAGCTTTGAGAGGCTGTGCTAAACTTAAATCTGTCAGTGAAACCATGCAATGAGTCCGAAATCCACTTTAGATTTGTGCCCTCAGATCAAAGTGTCGAGTGTTTTGAACGATGATCAAATGGAGCACAGAGAGCAAGCGAGGGAGAGGGAGGGCAACAACACTGACTCCGAGGAAAAGGATTAAAACAGCCATTAATTAAATATATTCCTCCTCGAAGTGCTGCTGCATTTTTTAAAGCCGATGACGCAAACGTTAATGCCTGCCACGGTTTGTCACTCCATTCATCATCCATTCTCTTTGAGGATCATTGACGGGGATGCCTCTGGGATGGGCTGGGAAGACAAACACGGGTGCAAAGAGCCCCACTTTTAAATTAAATAAATAAGTAAAAGCCCAAATATCTGAGACAGATGGAAAAGAAAAAAAAAATCATGTGTTTTTGCATTCAAACCCTTAAAACGTTTCAATAATCACCGGGACAAGAAGGTTAACATGAGCTCCTCAGATTTATTAACCTCGCCCCCCCAACAAACCAATTTTCTTATAAAAGGCACTTAATTTCCCTTAACTTTTAATCCATGTAACTAAACATTAGTAAGAGCCAACGTGGGCTTTAAATTAAATATATTTACAATAAATAACCCATTTTTACAGATTTATACAAATAATCATGACTCTCAGAGAGGAAAATACACAAATATTTCCCAAAATCCTCTCATTGAACAGCATGTGTATACATATTGATATATCGCTTTGCAAAACTGGAGAACAGTATGAACAAGAAAATATGAGTAACATGCCAAACATTTCCCTTTATGCATTAACTGAATACTGTTTTACAGATACCTGTGTGCCATTTGGCAGCAGCAGTGAAGTACCCCACAGTTGAGTTCAAGCCTTTTAGCACCTCCTCACTCAGGGTACAAAGTGTGTGTGTTTCCTGTTAGACATGTGTAGGGGTGTCTGAGTGCGGATCAGTCTTGGCCATGTGCAGAACCACAGCAGGAGATTTGTAGTGGCAGTGCGTGCTGCCACAGTTCACGCCGCCGCAGGGCTTCCTCCCACTAGTCCTGTCCGCCAGCTTCCTGCTGCACAGGCCCTGCCAGGTCTGCAGGGTCTTGGAGCTCCACACCCACACCCCGCTGGTGATGCCGACCACCAAAGACATGAAGATCTTCAGCATGAACACGGCCACTGTGGGTACGGACGTCTGCAACGAGCAGTCGCCGGCTTGCCCCCCAAAGGAGCTGCATTTCATCTGCTGCCCCCTCAGCTTCCAGTAGTCCATATTGAGCCTCTCGTAGAAGTAGCAGATAATGACGCAGGTGGCTGGGACAGTGTACAGGATGGAGTAGATGCCAATCTTCACCATGAGCTTCTCCAGCTTCTCCGTGTTGGTGCCCTCTGTCTTCATGACTTTACGGATGTGGAAGAGGGCGACGAAGCCTGTGAGGATGAAGGACGTGCCGATGATCAGGTAGCAGGACAGCGGGATGAGGACGAAGCCAGTGAGCGCCCCCGGGTCCATGCTGCCCACGTAGCACAGCCCCGTCAGCTCATCGCCAGCCACCTTCCTCATAGTGAGGATGATGATAGTCTTAAGAGCGGGGATGCCCCAAGCAGCCATGTGAAAATAGTTGCTGTGGGCCTCAATGGCCTCGTGGCCCCACTTCTTCCCTGCAGCCAGGAACCAGGTGAGGGTGAGGATGACCCACCAGATTGAAGAGGCCATTCCAAAGTAGTACAGGATGAGAAAGACTATGGTGCAGCCAGTGGACTCCAGCCCCTCCTGGATGATGTACAGCTCTCCGTGCTCACGATCACAAGCGATGTTCTCTGACCCTGCCACCGAGCGGATGATGAAGGCCACAGAGTAGACGTTGTAACACATGGAGAGGAAGATGATGGGTCTCTCTGGGTACTGGAAGCGGTGGGGCTCCAGGAGGAAGGTCAGCACAGTGAAAGCAGTGGAAACAAAACACAGGATAGACCACACCGTCACCCAGATGAAGGCAAAGTCCTTATCCTGCCTGGACCAGTAGACGTCCACGGCCGGGGAGCAGCGTGGGGCGCAGGACTGGCTCTTCTCCACGAACTGGAACTTATCCGGGTTCTCACAGGAACCCACCGGGCGCGGAGGGTGGGCCCCGCTGGTGCCCGGCTGCCGGGGCCTCGGGGGGACCGGGAGCATCCCCTCACCCTTCTTTCCTTCCGTCCTGGTTTCGTTCTCAGGGGCCTCAATGCACAGGGCGTTCGGGTCGTTCCTGGTGGGCAGCTTGGAGCAGTTCAGCGATTCAGGCCAGGTGTAGCTGAACTGCTTCATGATGGGGGCACACTTCTCCCTGGCCTGCTCGCACATGGGCCGGCAGGCTGGGATGGAGGTGGACACTTTATCCGTGCACATGGGGGCATAGAGGGAGCAGAGGAAGAAACGGAGGTGCACATCGCAGCCGTAGCTCACCAGGGGGGCGAACTCCAGCAGCTTGATGGCAGCCTCCTCCTGGTCATCGTGCTGCATGAAGTTGGGCATCCGGGTGAGGTTGTAGCCGATGCCCTGGCACATGGGGATCACGATGGGCTCACACTTAGCAGGTCTGTCCCGGTCCAGGTCGTAGGAGCCGATCTCAAAGCTGGAGCAGGAACTCAGCAGCAGACATAAGAAAAGCACCACCTGCAGCGGACAGTCATCCATGCTTAATATTCTCACCTAGGAAAAAGGATAAGTCTGTGCTCCTTAGAAATAGGCATGAAAATATCAGAGAGAGACGGAGCGGTCCCGTTATTTCCCCAGAATGATAATAAAAACAGTTTTTACACAGAGAGTCCGAAACTAAAAGAGATGAATCCAGGAGAAAGAGGTCCGTCACCACAGCCAAGAAACTTCAGCTCAACATTAAAAAATGAGCAGCGATCCGACAAGGAAGAAAAAACCCAAACCAAAACAAAGACAGACAGGAGAGCGGCTGCTGGTTTGGTTTATATCGGCTCCACGGGCTCCTCTCCCTCCGCTTCCACGATCCACACTAAAGTTTGAGAGCCGCTCTGAGGGACTTCACTCCGGCGGACACACGGAGCAGGAGGAGCAGGAGGAGGAGCAGGAGGAGTGAACGCTGTGACGCTCACATTTCACCTCCCCCAGCTCCACACAAGGAAAATGATCAGACAGATGCTGGAGGATGGTCAAATACCTCTGACATTTCTGCCGTGAATAGTTCGCTCACACGTTTCCCAACAGGCAGCAGTTAACTGATGATAACTTTCATCATCATCACAGGCTGCTGCGTCCTCATTACACACTAACATGCAGCATTTTCATTCAGTTTCTATTAACTAAGATGACTTAGATTACATGCACATAGATATGTAAAGAAAAGCCTAATTGAATCCCTGTTTTACGTTTATCCAGGGCCGCAGCAAATATGAAAAAGGACCCAGGGCTAAGTGGCTCAGAAGGGCCCCACTCGCTCACCCTCAGAAAGGCTACGTCCACACTGTAGGCCTTGATGCTCAATTCCGATTTTTTTGTGAAATCAGACTTTTTCGCGTTCCCGTTCATATTTCCAAATATATGGGACTTGTTTGGGATCTCCTGTGTGAACTACAGTCATACAACGCAAGTGTCCCGCATGCGCAGTAAAGGACACAATGACGTCACAGGCCAGCGTACTCTTTTTTTCCGGAAGTAAACATGGACGGTAGTGCCGGTGCGCATCTAGCGATCTTTTCCAACCATAAAAACTCATTCTTTTCTATATGTTTAAACATAATACTGCTCTCTGCAATATCATCTGCCATGGTTGTTTTTTTTCTTTCCACTTTTGCATAGCAAGACGCATAATAGTGACCTTTGTCGGGTATTAATGATGTTCAGGTCAGATGAATCCGACCTGGCCGTTCAGACACAGGTCCCAGTTGAAAAGATCAGATTCGTATCGAATTCAGGACCACATAGCCAAGTGGCCTGGGTCGCATTGGAAAAAATCTAATCTGTGTTGTTCAGACATCCATGAAAAGATCAGATCCAGGTCGCATGTGGGCAAAATATCAGATTTGGGTGACTTCAGGCTGCATTGTGAACGTAGCCATAGACTGGTGCTATTCTAAATTTTTTTTATTACACTAAAATACCAATTTAAATAAACTGATGAAATAAACATGGAAAATGTTGATGAGTTTGGACAAGAAAACAGGACAAAAGTATTTGTAATTGTTCATAGCCTACCCCTGGTAGATATTTTTTTGTTTCTTTTTTTCCTTCAGTCACACAAGAACTTTGTTTTTGAAAATTAATATGACAAGCTTCTCTCATAAAACATAATAAATGTTGAATACATTTTTTTTTCATAAAACAAAATAATTATGTCAAATCTTATTTTAACACGTTATTTGATGTTAAATCTTCATCACAAGCTGCCTGTCACAGTCTTTGCCTATCACACATTCCTTTCAAAACTTCTAAGGGCAGTTTTCATATCCCTTTGGTGAGTGATGATTTATTGCTTTGTATATTCTAGTTATAGGGAACTGTGATTAAAAACAATTTAATGTATTTAGTTATTTTGTGGTACTTGTCCACATGAATAAACCTTAACATAGTACAAACTTGTGTTCAAGCAAAGTTGTCAGTAAGTGATATGTGCACAATATTGTGGACATCTTGGTCAGCTATTGTTTTTATTCTCTCTAGTACAACTTTTATTAGATTTTCTTTTATTTTAATTAAATTTTTAATGAATTCAACTGACTGGAACTAACTTGTTTCCTTGTTAAAAGATATATTTATTGGATTGTTTTATTTCGTCAACACCTTTTATAGATAAGCCTTTTTTTAAATTTACTTACTCTACTGTTTGTTCCTTGTCTCCACAACTTCTTGGTTTGTATTAGTAACACATGCTCCAAGTCTTCAACCTTTCCGAAAAAAACCCCGAAAGCATTAACTGTCCAACAAATCTCAGTAACAGTATAATAACAAAAATTTACTCTAAGAAATTTAGCAGAGAAATGTCTATATTTGAGATCAGTATCAACTTTCAGTATTTGTCTAATCCTGCTTTTTTGAATTAAGTGTAAACACACATGTTTGCTTTGCATCTAGAAATAGACTACATTTCCTGGTGCTATACTTGAGTAAGGCAAGACGTGACCATGAATTTTTTTGGCCTTTCTGTACAAAATCAATCAATCAATCTAAAATATCATCATTAAAAGGTAAATAAAAACATTCTTTAGAAGCCAAATATGCATATATGCTGTAGCTGGTTTTGTTTCCCCAGGTGAAGATATTTAAAATCTTACTTCTTGATAAAACTTTAAAGCTCCCCAAAAATGGCCTGGAACCATCAGAATTAAAGTCTCATATCTGGAAGAACCCTGAGATCATTTAGGAGCCCAAGTTACCATAAACATCTGAATGCAAAGATGATCCGTGTTATTTAAACCAGTGCACATTTGATCCTTTTACCAGAGGTAAAATTCAGCACTGATAAGTTAGGTAATTTTGTATTATTTTTGCAGTTTTTTTTTTTATCTAACAGCTAACAGAACAAGATTGCCCTCTATAGTAACAGTGAGATAAAATGGAAAATCTCATGCAAAGTAAAGTTTTGAAGAGACACAGGGTGGGTGGGAGATTAACAAAATGCATCCACCCACTAGCTCAACTTATTCAAATCTTTTGGATGTACCAAAGCTGACATGGTTCTGGTTCTGTTCAAGTTTTATATCTGAGTTTTCATTGGTCTTATTTCCATTTTTGTGTTCTAGTTTTTGATTTTATTAGACTTCTTAGATATTTGTTGTTTGCCCTCTTGTGTCAGTCTCCTTTTGCCTAGCTCTCTTCTAGGGAGCTAGTTCACACCTGCTCCCAATCTGCTAATTAGCCTGGTCTTTGTTTCTCTCTCCCATATATCCTCCTCCTGTTCAGTCACTGTTGTCTGGTTTGACGTCATTACTTTGTCCCCTTCTTGTTGTAAGTATTCCTCCTTTTCAGCATTTTTGGATTTTTGTGAATTTATGTTTTGGATTTTTGATTCTGTTGAACTTTTGGTTAATTAAACCTTCAAGTAACAACCTTAAGCTTTTGTGTCTGCATTTGGGTCCTGTCAAATCTCCACCCCCACTGTGATAGAAGCTCATATTCTTCTTCTGTCTAATATGAGGATATTCAGGAACAAAAATATTAGTTGAAAGTTTCCCCTCTGGATAACATATAAGAAAACTGTCTCTAACATCCTCCTCTGTCCTCATTGAGAAGCAGAACAATATCTTATTCTCCATGGTGGTTACAGGGAATAAGCTGCTCAACCTGTAAAAGGACACAGGAGGTTTAACTGCCACTGCCTCCAAATTACTCTGCCATGATTTCTGCTAATGTTTTTTAAGATGTATAATGTGAAACTTTATTGAGTCATGCAGGTCATTTCCTCTGAAAGGATAACTGTCCTGCAGATGGCAGGAATTTCACTGCCCACACAAATGACTCCTGAAGGGGAACTAGCGATTGAAGGTGAACGAGATAAAAAAAGCCAGCCTGAAAACGCCCACAAACAGCTAACCTGGACCGGAATGATTTAATGAGGAGATGCAACCCTGTACAGAATTAATTAATGGATACAACAGCGACTAAGCGGGGGAAGGCTATTGTTTCCATCTAGCGGCTGAATAGGGAGAGTCTGCAGCCCCACAGCTGTTGCACGGAACATTTGATCTTTTCTCAAACAGGGGAGGGAACTCAAGGATTTTGGCCCCTCGCCCTGCAGGACTGAATCGCTTGTCAACTGCATGCTGTCTCTATTAGTCCCTGTGTTAAAAGTCTGTCTGCTGAAGGTGGTTTTGCACCTGTCTGGTGGAGAATGACCCTGCTGTTTGTTACATTAAGATGTTAATATTGTATACAGTATAGCAAGGGGGGAAATAGTCTTTTATGTGTTCACTGCATGAGCTACATCCTTAGATTCTCATTTTGGAATTAGATGTTTGGAGCATATTGAGTTGGAAATGATTTGAGCTCCTACATCTCCCTGCTGGTTTGTAAAGTAGATATTCCACATAAAATACCACCATCAACCTGAGGCCCCGTCCACACGAAGACGAACCCTAGCCTAAACGCACAAATTTTTCACCAAACCAGCCTCTCATCCACACGAAGCCGGCGTTTCGGGGGTCTGTAAACGATCTTTTTTTTATTCAGCCTTCAGAGTGGGAAGATTTCGAAACGCCGTTTTCGCGTTTCCATCTTTACGCTCTAACCGCATATTTTTTTTTTTACACGCATGCGTCATAGCGTCGCCTCTAAACACGCATGCGTGACACAGTATCACAACAACAATGGCGCCGTTGCTGCTAATGCTACTCACCCTGCTGTCGGGCTTACAACAGAATCTTCTTCTTCTGGAATATCTCCAGGAAGAACAGAGCAATATCGACGACATAGTTCAGCACCTGAATTTGACTTAACCACGAAAATGGACCCGCGGGGCAACCATGTATAAATATTAGTGCGCATGCCCAACATTTCGTCGCTTATTTTTGCTTTGGCACCACAGCGCCACTTACAGGCCTGGCATACATTTTGCAGCGCTTTCATGCATTCGTGTGGACGATCACATTTATTTTACGTCTCCGTCTTTACGGCAAACGTTTTGGAAAATATCAGCGTTTCGTGTTCGTTTTGACTTCGTGTGGACGGGGCCTGAATCCTTGGTAAGTCTGGGTGGATCCATTCATTTTGTTTTTACTTGATTCTGAAACTCAGAATCGACCAGGAAACTTTTTTTCTTTAGTCTGTGCTTCAAGATTCAATGTGCATGGATCAAAGATTGTATTTTACCTATCTTGGTTAGGATGAGAGGTTTGGTTTTTCTCAAACCAGTCTCACCATTCTCATCTGACCTTTGACATCATCACAGTATATTTAGTCTCTTTTGGGATATTCACTGTGAGTGATTGCGTTCATCCGAAAAGCTCAATTTTCAGGTTGAATATGTCAAAAGGAATTTAGTAGAAAATATTTTTGCATTGAAGGTTGTTCATTTTTTTTTTAGAATTTGCCATTCTAGAATCAGATCAAGATATTGCTTCTTGTCTATGGAATATACATAACTAAGTCTGTTATGAGTAAAGCAAAGCTGCTGGAAAGTTCAGTTCCCTGATGTTTTTATTTTATTTTTTTCTCAATCTCATCACTTTTCAGAAAGTTTTTTTGTTCTCTTTAAGGGTTTTTTTTTTTAAATTGACCCAAGTGGTTATTAGGAAACTGAATCTTGTTGCAACAGTCATTGTACACTGCAAATTATGTAAATCTCAAGTCTTTTTTTTTTTCTTAAAATAAGTGCGTTTTTTTATTGAATCAAGGAGGGAAGTGAGACCCTTTGCCAATGGAACAAGACATTTTACATTTAAAATAAGAAAAAAAAATTAGATTGGGTTATTACATGTGCACATTATTTAATTAACTTATTTTAAGAGTAAAAATACTCATTCCATTGGCAAATCATCTTATTTACCTGCTCAAAGTAGGGGTAAATGAACTTAATTTAATACATTTTTACTAATTTTTAGATCATGTTTGCAGTGTAGTCAACCTCACTCATTGTTTAGTAAAACATTACACGGTCTGCCCCAAGCAAAAATCTCTCAATGTGTTTGTTTCTGTCTAGCTTGAAAGGCAAGATGCTAAAGATTTACTTTCTAATTTTTCTCAATACAATGCAATTTTATAACTGATTATTTCATTGATTTTGCAGCTAAGCTAAGATGTTAGTCAAACAAAATCTCAGATGTCTGTTTTCTCAGAAATAACTATATTATCATGTCAATGTTAGTGAAATCTAAACATGAATATCAGTATAGATGCATTGCTGACTTGCATCTAACTGGTGAGAATCTTAATAAATTGATTTTTTTCAAAAACAGATCATATTAACCATTGCACTCTTCTGTATTGAAGTGACTACTGAGTGAGACAAAGTTTATGCTCTTTTCTATTTCACTATGATCTTAGATCCTAGATATAGCATAGATGTTTGTAGCTTTTTTTACAGAAAGAAAATCTATTTTATTTTCTGTAAGCTGAGAGATAAACTCTGATTATATTACTGCAAATTTGCTGTTTCCTACATTTGAGCTTTCTCCCTAATCTGTGTTGGAACAGTCAGGACATGCAAATATTAGGAACATTTTTAAAGAAATCTAAATGGAGAGAGACAGTCAAGATCATAAATACTCATATCCCTGCCAGATTTAGTTTAAATGTATTATCTTTCAACCTAGGACTGTATTAAAGGTATGCTAGTTCCTCCAAAGGTTCAGATACTCTGTTTGTGCAGAGATTATTTTTTTTAAATGAAAATAGATCTACTAATGTCAGCGCAAAAAACAAATGACAAAAAAATAAATAACTGTTCTATGAATTGACATCCTTTATCCCAAAACATAAAGTCATTTAATAGGAGCTCATTAAAACAGAGCATACGATATTCATTGATTGGCCAGACGTTGATTTCTCACAAAATGTGCGCTGTCTCGTTATAGTCTGCCCAAGATAACTCATGCTTACAAATGCAGTAAAATACATTGTGAGACAGCAAAGGCTGTGATAGCTACCCTGGCTGGTGGGTGCAAACATCCTGCAAATACAAACATTTGAGCAAATTCATAACATGTTACAGATACAAAACTGACATGCAAACAGACTAACATACATAACAGATGCAAAGGGAAAATGCAGCAATCAGAGAAAATGGAGATTGCCAAAGTGGAAACATGGCGTATACGCAAGCTGCAAGCACATAGAATATTCTAACGCACAAAACGCATGCAAAGGAAAAACTGCTGTATCAAGCAAAAACAGCTGCAAGTTAAGAAAAGCACCAAAATTGTTCTGCATAACAGAAATGGTCCAGCAAACTAGTGGTCAACAATCAGCAAATAATTGTGGGACCAACCATAGACGTTGCTGGGAATTAATGTCTATAGACGAGATCTGTCGCAAGAAAATAAACCAGATATCTGACCAGAGGAAAATTAAAACGAAGAAAGTAAAGGTGCATTTTCTTTGCACTTTGCTTTTCTCAATTTCTGCACTTTTGCAGCATTTTTCCTTTGCACATGTTTTGTGTTTTAGTCTAATTTTTGCCTTTTTTCCATCTCATCTCTGTATCTTTTTTTATATTTGCAGTACCTTTTTAAATTTGCAGCGCATTGCTTGACCACCGTAGATGGCGGCTCTAAGCTAACTGTGCTAGGAAGCTGCACAACATGTCCGCATTTACTTTGGAATCACAGTTGATAAGAATACCACAAGCAAGACTCACTGGTTTCCTTTTTAAATCACCAATTGTAATTTTAAATATGTCACGCTCTTGAATTTGCTCCTGGATCAGCATCCGTAAAGAATAAATAGCACTGTTCCCTTGATTACCTGAGGAGCCACACGGTCTGACCGCAGTGCTGCTGTGTCCTGGGCTTTACAATAAGATATTATTGTGCTTTTCTGGCATGTTTTTATTTCTCCTAATTGTGTTATTTCATTTTGACCCGAACAGAGAATGGTCAAAGGCATAGAAACATGGGTATTAGAGTATTTATATATTTTTCAGGCTAGCAGCTGATATGTTTTGAGAAGGTCGTTGCTATTTGCTTTGCCATTCAGTGGAAGGAATGGATATGTTATTTATTCCTCCCCCTGCTCACACTCTCCTGCTCATGATACTGCTGCATGTCAAGCCTCTGTAATAAGTAGCCTCTACAAATAACCCCCCATCTTTTATTTCATGCATTCATCAGTCGTTCTGGTAGCGTGTGGGTCTTGTAATTACTACCTCTTACTTATTGGTTATCATATATCGGGTACAAAGCTATAAACATCCCAAGGAACAATGGGGGAGCCTTGCCACAGCCTGGCAAGCCATTGCTATCCCAGAGCCACAGCCTGTTTGAGGTTGTTATGGGTGTAATAAGAGACACCTCACACATTAAGCAGTACATCTGGACCAGTGTACGGTTTTTGACAGGGAGCATAATGGTAAATTGTTGAGGCTTGAATCATGTCATTAACCCTTTCTTCATGCTGTGTTTTGTAATCTGCAGTGCAGGCAGAATCTGACACAGGGGAAAGTTATCATAAGCAGGAGCTGTATTTGTCTTGTTTTCCAATTAAAGCTGCGCTTATGTTGTTTGGTTTAAGTGCCACTGCTGTCGTCCTTCCAGGCCATCAGTTTGAAAAAGTTATTAGCTGCAGCGAGGGGACAAAACCGCTCAGGTCCTCTTCCAGGATTATGCAATTTTATGTAGAGCTATTGGGTGACTTTGTGAATAAACCTGATTCAATCCCTCAGTCCATCTGTGTTCCTCATCCGTTTCTGTTTTCTAATAGGTTGATGTCCTTCACAGCCGGGTACAGGTAGCGAGAATGGCGGCGCCACCATTTCCTCAAAACGTCAGCATTGCTGAAATCAAACAAGGGAGGGATTCAGCTACCTCACAAATGATCCAGGTTTTTGGGGGTTTTTTTGCTTAGGGAAATAAGTAATAAATCAACATTAATAGATGTTTTTTAATGTTAAATGACCTCTCAATAGAACCAGCTTAATATTTAAAACATTTTATACTGCAGCTCTATGATCTGACTTTTATTTATTTTTTTAAAACCTGTCAGCATGGTCATGTTGGTCTGTTTGTGTGCTTGGTTTGTGCATATGTGTGTAGGTGTGTGTTTGTATTAAGATGGGGTGAGGGTGGGTGTAATTGTGTAATTGTTTTTTACACTCAGTTGGCAATGAGATAATGTTTTTAGCTCTGGAAAGCCCTTGCATTAATTGAAAAGTGCTTTATAAATAAAGTTTGATTTGAAAATATTTTTATTATTTTCACATGTTGATTAATCTCCAGCAGGGAAAGGTGGATGAAACAGGAATTTCTTTTTAATTCAAACCTAAAGATATGCAAAAAACAAAACAAAAAAAAAAACAAAAAAAAAACTTCAAACACAATATGACCTTTTAATATATTTTTTTTTTTGGGACACAAAGTTTAAGGGATATTTAGGTGACAACTTTTGCTATTCAGAGAGAATGATTGAAACGTGTGTCTCTTTAATTTTTCAAGCATCATCTTATCTGATGCTTTTTCATTTTAATTCTTGTCTCTTTTATTGGGTAAACCCATTCAATATCTACTTTAAGATTGTACCTCTCAGTATTTGTTTTAAGAAAGTTTTATTTCTCAGTCAGTCAATCTAGACGAGTAAAGGTTATAACGCTGTAGGCATGCCAAAACCCCCCTCTCCCAAGCTGGTCTTATCCTGCAAAGAACCAGAATTTGAGGCCAATAGACCCATTGACTCTGATAACTGGTTTGCTCCTTTGGTGGACAAGCATATGCTTTGGAACAGCGTGTTTATAGACAGCCCCCTTGGGTGGTCAGAATGGGCCAGTGGTCCGCCTTTTTTTTTTTTTTATTATTTATAAAAAGGAGATACAAGGTCGTGTTAGTCTTGTAGATGGATCAAATATCTGGGGCTTCCAAAAAATGTTGATAATGGGGTGCAGGAGTCAGTTCAGCAGAGAAAAAAACTAAGACTTTATTTTTTTATATTTGCAAGAACTGGGGAAATTTTTTGTTCTTCCAATAGCAAGAACAAGATAAAAAGTAAAATTTCTCTCTGAGTATTCACACTTTGCAAGAAGCTCAGCTGCCAAATTTATAGAAAGTCCCGCTGACTGTAGCTGATGGCACACTAACAGCAGAAAACGACAGCACAGTGGAAAAGGAGGCTTTTTTTTCTGATATTTAATGGAGAGGAAAGAAAATTGTTATATATCACATGAAAGACATTTTATTTTCTTACTGCCTTGATCATATTTATCATTTAAGATTTCACTGTACAGATTTTTCCCGCCCAAAAACGTTGCAAATTTCTGATCTGAAAAGAAAATGAAAGTCTTCTCCCCTTTTTTAAATAGCACAAAAGTTCTGCTCAGAAAATTTGTTGAGAAAAAGTATTTAGAACCCCCCAAAAATTTTCATTTTGCTCCTGCAGCTATTGGAGGAAGAACAAAAAAATTCACATTTCTCATGGAGCAGGGAGCCGCCTTTAGGAAATGTTGTTAATTGAGAAACACAGAGGCAGCCTTCTACAATCCAAAAATAACTAGACTTCATGTATCTTTTAAGATTTGATTTGAATTAGGGTACAATGAAAGCCCCTTTGGTGAAGTGTCTTTAATGCTGACTATCTGCTGCAATAAAGAGATAAGAGACAAAAGATGAAAGCTAAATTTAACAACTGTTAAAACAGCTTTAAAACTGTCACCTTCAAACATGAGCTAACGGAATTACAGAGCAATTATAAAAGACTGAAACTGGCTTCTCTAGTGGAGTGACTGGGTTTAATGAGGATATTACCTGTTTTTTACCTGAGTTTCCTGTAATGGCGTCACTGCTCCTCCAATTTTAAAATGCATCAATTAAACTGTAAATGGAACATTTAGTAATGTTGCCTACTGGCAAATGTCGTTTTCCTTGTAATTTTTTGGGGTTATGACCCACCAGAAGGATGTCTTGTGGAAAATCGGAAACTTCTCTGGGAGATTATCCAACTCAACCTATTTGAAAACTTCATATTAATATTGTCATGATCTTGGCGCTGATGACTGGCCTGATTGCTTATTTCCTTCACCTGCCTAGCTTCGCCAAGTTTCTCATTACAACTCATCCAATGAACCTGCTCCAGCTTCTATTTAACCAGCCTTCAACCAGTCATCAGGGCCAGAGCTCTCTTACTGTTTCTTATTTCCTGATCCTCACCAGTCCTGTCTCTGGACTTCTGACCCTGCCTGTTCCTGTTCTGATCTGTTTGTTCTTGGACACCTGCTGGATTCTGTCTGTGTACCAAACGTGGAACTGCTTCCTGACGCCGTCCTGGATTACCCTTCGGTACCTCTTCAGATCTCTGCTCTTCTGGCTCTGACTCCTGAGCAGATCCTCAACAACTGCTTTGGCTTTGCCCTCTGGATTATCCTACCATCCTTCATCTGCTCGGTTCTGATCTGCTGCCTGTTCTCCAACCTCCAGGACTTCAGCGTCTGGGACTCTCTGGACAACGTCCGCTGCCTCTTGTTGGCAACCTGCTGGCTGGATCCAACCTCTTCCTCTGGGCTCAGACTGAACTATAAGGCCAGAATAGTGACTAACACGTTCCTTATCATCTTCCGCCAGATAGACATGGTGTTCTCTCCCTGCAGAGATTCCTGCCTTAGACACCTAGCTGTTCACTGCAAATCTGTTTTCTTAATAAACATTGTTGAGAGATCTGTCTGTTTTCTTCGAAAACTGGGTGCTCTTGTTCTGAGCCTTGACAAACAGAGGGAGATCGGACCTCTGTTTAACGTCTTACTTCCTACCACACAGTCCCCGGTATGTAGCAGGGAAAACTGAAATCATTGGTGGATATCTGCATTAAATCAATCTACAGTTTGTTTTAGTCACATTAGTAACAGGGTCATTAAATCAAGCTAAACAATGGGTGTGATTTGGAACATCTTTGTCTCAGGTATTTCCATAACTTAACATCTTTTCAAAGATTAATGAACAGCAAAGTCAAACATTTAAACAGAGTTTTTTGTGGCAACAAAGGGTAATCTTAGCAAAACAATCAATATGCTGGAAATATGAAAAAAAACTGTAATAAACTCAGCTGACCTTTCTCTGAACTACTTCAACTTGACTGATATAACCTCAGTTTGACCTCAGCAGGGAGGAGCTCTACAGCTCCGTTATCAACCAAAAGGAAAGAAAACAACACGCGTAAATAGATATATATACAAATTATATCTACCATAGACTGGAGTTGGAGATTGTAGGAGGAAATCAGGCCATTTTGTAATGAACATGAATATTTTAGTCATTTTTTTTAGCATTTGCAGCTGCAGGATGTTTATCCATACTTGAGAGATCAGGCCGGTTCGCTACTTTAGCAGCAGACGCAGATAAACTCAGGATATTTTCTGAATCTGAACAGGAGCCGTTTTTTTCTAAGATTTTATTAAATGAATCTAGTTTATATGAGATGAATTTTTGCAGTCTGCTAAAAGTTTGCGTTAACAAAGGGAAATATTTACTGAATTGGAAGTTTTAGCTGTGTCAGTCATGAAATAAATAATGGATGTTATTGTAGTGTTGAAGGGTGCATGCATTCTTGAGGAATGTTTGTATTTTCTTGGGAAGGCTCATCCTGAATAGCTTATTTTGAAAACGGTTACACATTGCTCTTGTGTTTTTAAAGGCTGAGGTTTCGCGACGCACATGCATTCATGCTTTAGCCTCCTTAGGGAGCTTTGCTATGGAAAGCAAAAATGGTTGTTGGTCATGCAGCGGTACAACAGAAGGGAGGTGGGGTGTTTTGAATAGATTAGATTTTGCAAAGAGGGAAACTGATGTGAAAATAGCTTAGAAACATCTTATGATAAAGTTTCTTATGTTGGTGTATGTTATTTAAATTGTTGGAATTTCTGTGGGAGGTTTACAGAGGGAACAATACCCTATTTGCCAGGACTGTATAACTTGGGAAGGATGTCATATTCCTCTTTCCTGGAATGTAAATACACAAAAATGGCCCTTGCATTGGTAAGAGCGGGAATTGATTGAGTTTCACTGCGGGTCGTAGAGCAGCGAGTGAGCAGCTTCAGGCTGTCAGCCAGACCGACATGGAAAGACTAAAAATGGACCTCTGGGTGTTATAGTGAGCAAGGGTAAAAGGACCAAGGAGCATATCTGACTGGAAATAACACACAGTTGCTGTTTATTTTGTTGAAACCTGTCAATCACCCATAGAAATTAAAGAGAAATCATTTGATGATTCAAATGGTTTTATGAGGTGCTAAGGGGATGGCTTTAGAGGACCCGAATGCATGGAGAGGTGGAGCAAGAAAAATGTTTAAAAAAAAATGATAAAGGACAAGAAACGTGAATTGAAATTCATGAAATTAAAAGCAAGAATCAAAACAATTGCAAAGTAGACCTTGGTAGGAACTCCACAAAAATCGCCCACAAGCCTGGATGTCAGCTTGTTGGTGGGTTGAACCCATAAAGATGTTTAGCTTGAGGCTTGACTCAACAGAGAAAAGGAGTGGAGGAAAAACCTGGACCAGCCATCTAGTAGCTACAAGATGGGCATCTTTTACTAAAAGAAGTATAGTTATGTCTTTATAACAGCTTCTGAATACCTCATTAAAACAACCTGGTGTTTTTCAGACCCAAATGGGGAGATCCATGTGGGTGTTGTTACTAGCCCCTCCCCATTTTAACCTTAGGTGGTACATATGGCACATTAGGAGAAGAATTGTGAAAATGGTATGAAAGTAAAAACATGTAAAGTAAAATAAAGGTGAAATATTTAGAAACCAAATTAAATGTATGAAAATAAGTAGCATCTTTATGAAGAGAGCATTTGGCCTTTTCTTGTAAATATCTTTTATGTAGAAAAATTAGATTTTTGTATTGTTTCCATCTTCCTAAAATGCTTTTTGCACCTCAACATTAACTGCTTAGACATAAATAACAAGAGTAGAAAAATATTCAGATGATTAAAAAATAAACTTTAATGCTGGCCAGCGTAATTAATACAGGATCTATTTGTTGTAAAGTATAAGTAGTCCTTGTGAAGGTTTATTAGCAAGTGTTAGTAGTGAACCAGAGTGGAAAACCCTCTGTGGTGCTCATGGTCAAGTTACTTCTCTCTCCCCCCACTGCCAACCCTTCACATTTCTCCGTCCTCTCCTTCTCTGTACTGTCGGAAAACTAATAAAAACCTGAAGGAGGGCAGATTGCTCACCCTTCTTAAAAAAAAAAAGAATAAAGTAATGGAGGGGATTATTCCTGACAGCTGTGCAGTCCTGAGCCTATATCTGAGGAGCCGCAGTCATAGAGGTCGACTCTCACTCTAGCCTTTAAATCAATCACATGTCAAGGCTGTGAATAGCAGACCAATAAGCTCAATTAACACCAAAATACTCTGAATCCGTGCCCTTCTGCCGCCCGTCACCACCTCCCGGGCGAGGCCTCTCAGATCTCAGGACATGAGAAGACACCGGCAGCCGTGAGCCACCATAGCCACGTCCCATTCTCAGCCTCACAGCGACATACAGCCCCCCCACCCCCTCTCAAGCTATAGCCACATAACTGAAGCCTGAACTTGCACACAAACAGCTTGGGGCCTATTTATACATCATGTCCTGGCAGCGCGCATGGGAAAACAAGACCCCAGCGCTATCAGTGTATTCAGTGTTGTCTGCCTCTCAGTGTTCTTTCCCCTGTCTGATGGGGGACAGGACAGAGACATAAGATAGCTGCTTAGGATAGCTGAAAGATGGCTGCTTTAGATAACTGGAAATACCAAAACAACCTGATTATGCATTTGGCAAGGTGACGCAGTCGCTGATATTCCACATGCTGCATTCCCCCGCTGTTGGCATTGTGTGTAGCGTCACGTTATCAAATCATTATCAACAAAACAGCAGGATGGTATTCTTTAAGCTTTGGGTCGGAGCCAAAGTAAGAGCTGTGTTTCCTAGTCTGCTGTGAAACGGAAAAAAAAATACCGCTTTTTATTTGGATTCTGTTTAAAGTAATACCCTAAAGAAAGATAAGGCTAAACCAAATTGCATGACAAAATAAAGCAACATGGCAACAATGAGGAACTGATTTGAAAACTTTTATTACAAAATAAACAGCTTGATATAAAGAAGGTCAAAGTTAGATATTTAACTGTGACATGCATGTGAATAATGTAGTCAGGAAAAAAATAAATGCTGTGTAATGAGGGTGATTGATATAAGGAATCATTTAATTTACAAAAAAACAAGACTAATTGCTTTATTAGGAAATAACTTTCTATTTATTCCTGTAATGGTTCAGTCATTAGTTAGTTATGCTTTCATAAATAAAAAAAGAGGAAGGAGAAAAAAAGGATGAGGGATGCAAGTGTGAACGCTCAGTTTAAGCTAAAACTTGTTCTACTAGATACATCAATATTTTGGTGTGAAATGGAAATGAAAGTCAGTTGGAAATATTATTAGCCAAGCCAAGCTTAGATGTGTAAACATAAAAAAATAAATAAAAAAAAACCTGTTTTCCATTCATCCAACCATCTGTTCATCAAATAATATCAGGTAATGGTTCAGGAAAGGATCTGGATTAATGAAATATCATTTTATTGGTCCTTGGTTTTAAGGGATCCAGTGTCAAAATGAGAAACAGTCATATTATTAAGAGGTGATAAATCCTCTATTGAGTGGATCGAACTTTGACCAACTCAAGGCATCATTAGAAATGGTAATTATACGACAGCTACAGATAGCTCTCTCTAAAATACTGTATAGTAGAGTATATTCTAAATTAAACTTGATTAAAAAAAACACAGCTTAATGCTAATGAGGACTTCATTCCAGAAGAGCCAATGGATTTCTTTAAGGGGATAAGATCAGTGGTGGCTGGTCAATAGAGGGTACTAGGGCCCTGCCCACCCAATGACCTTGATTATGACATAAATAAAATAATAAAAAGTTTATTATAAAAAAAATTGAAATAAATTAATATATTTTTTTGATGTACAAGATAAATATTCATTCTTATAATGACGAGTAAAGCTTTTTCGTTAGTTGTCAGATTGGTGGAGTATTTCCGCCCTGGGCTACAAAAATCTTTGGCAATAGAACTTCGTTAAAATTTGTACATGTGCATTAGCTCCTCTTCAATGCAAAAGGATGGGAGAGCTCAGGACGCAGGGGAGCTGTGCCCTGAGCAGAAAGGAACTTTCATCACAGTTGTAGTGCGATTGATTAACAGGTCGAGTCGCGGAAGTGAAGTCCCTTAAAGCAAACTTAACAAGCGAAACTGGAGGTGAAAGCATTTGGACCTGATCAGCCGAACATCAAAATTAATCAGCAGCCAAAGACGCATGGAGACATTACACTTTATTCGCTCCAAGGCTTGGCTAACTGCATGCAGCGAGGCTAACGCTGTATTCTGCTTTCCCTACCTCCTTTTTTTAAATGTCCGTATCTGACCCAGCATGGATAAAGACAGTTAGGACTGATTTAAAGCACAGACAAATGAACAATATGGGATTCACATGGAAAATAATGTACTGTAATATAGTGGGGGTTTTTTTTTCCCTAGGTGTTTGTTAATTTACATAGTTGCTCTTAAATAAACACATTCTGAGTAAAAAAATAGTTTTTATATATAAAATGATATAAAGCTAACTAATAGCTTCCTATTATTAATGTGGTACAATATTGTTTTAGGTTTGTGGCATAATATTGGACCATGCAAAACACAATTTTACCTTCACAAAACCTAAGAAGGGCAAAATTTATGTACAAAAAGTAAAGCTGTACATGAAATTATGTTTTTGATTTTATAAAGTGTTTTTATAATGTTAATTTTTGTTGTCGGCATTCATATAAGTATACTGGTTTGGTAACTTAGTATACGTTCGATTGGTTTTTGTTATATGTCTAATTTGAATTTATACCGCCTTTTGGGGAAAACTCCATGAGCCACCACTGGGTCAAAGATCTAAATTAGTTGGAAAAGTGATTATAAAGTTTTAGGGTCAAAATTTCATTTATTTTTCATGGGTGTTTTGAAGCACTGGATTATTTGGTAGGAATAAGGACTTTAATTATTGTAGAATCCTCCAAATTTGTAGAATCACATCACATCAAATAAGACAAAGAGAAATCAAAATAAAAAAAACAAACCTTAACACATCCTAATACCAACAGACTATCTTCTTAACTATCTGTTTTCTGACCTAAAAAAAACAACAACTAAAAAAACTCCCTTATTATTTGTGACATTTATTTATGGAAATATCTCTAAGGGTTTACCGTAAAAGCTAACCCAAGCAGGCATCTATATTTGTTTTAATTATACAAAGGTCCAGACTTATAGACTGTTTTAGCATTCACCATGAGGGTCTGATGGACACATAGTGGTCCAAGCAAATCCATTTAATCATGTGTGTGGTGATAACTGCTGGAGGTGACGGCTGGTGATCAAACCCAGGCCAGTGGCTCAGTGGGGTTCCTTCCTCTGTTTTTCCATCTTATCTGACAGGATAACACGGCACCAGTACATAGGATCCTGCAGGCTGCTTTAGGTTGGGGAGCTTTAGGTGTGAATCTGTTGTTCTTCACTCACTCAGGCACCTTATTTAATCCATCTGAGTTGTAATCTTGTTACTGTGCAGCATGCAATACAGATGTCACTTTTAACATGTGGTGACTCATTTTTGTGCAGCAGCCAATTCAAATAATGAGGTAATAGAGAGTCTGAGGTCCATTATAATTACAATGATGAAGTATAAATGTTTTTAAGGTCACACGCCGTTTGTTGTGTGCCTTGGTAGTTTGATTATGAGATGTCAACCAGGTTCCAGCTGAGAGCAGAGCCAAAGTGAGTTGTAAATGGTGATGATGATGAAGCACAAAATTCCTCCAGCCATTTGTCACGTTTTCATGTGTTTGACCATTTCAATTACATGCTGTCAGCTGGATAGAAAGAGAGAGAGGAGAGCAGGGCCGCATGCAGAGATGGAGGGCATGCCTTAGAGAGTGCGAGTGACACATGTTACTCTCTGACTGAGTGAGGGGGGACACATGGTGGGAGAGAGAGAACGAGAGAAATGGAGAGAGAGAGAGAAAAAAAAAGACAGACTCACATGTGAGAGAAAACTGGCAGCATCGGAGCCAGGGAGGGTGGCGTGGTTGAACGGAGCAGCTAGAGGACAAGCACAGGGATATCAGCTATCTGTGACCCCACACCCTCCCCATCTGCCCACCCTGCAGCACGAGAAACAAGACCTATTTATAACCTGTGGACGGATGAGGGAATCAGGTGGACTCTCCTCTGGAAACAGGCCACAAATGAAGGGTGTATGAGCAGCATGTGGTAATACTACCAGTGTAACGAGACCTTGCAATATAAAAAAAAAAAAAAAAAAATGCAGCAATATTTCTGGTCAAAGTGAAATCGCTTTCAGAAACTCCATACAGAAAGTCGTCTTAGGATCGAATCTGTATCAGAAAATCAATCCAGTAGATGAGCTGGAAAAACCTGCACTGGATTATGTTGTGGTGATTCCTGATTATTCAAAAAACACACGGACACACATTTTTCTTCCATCTTCCATTTTTTATTCTAAGAAAATGCCATATAAATCTAAGTTAACTGCATTGTTTATTTTCACTTAATACTAAATCCTTTTCCGTACTTCTATATAAAATTGTCCTAAAATACAAAACCAAGGCCCACTACTCTTCATAATTTCCCTTATCTCTGTTAATAATGAAAAGGTAAGACTTAAATTCCATTTATTAACAAAATGTCTGGTTTAATATCCTGTATCTGTATGATCACCTCTAACTACTGTATAGTGGAGTGTTCATTAGAAAGTTTCTTTTAGTTTTTTTTTTTAAATCACTTGATATTCAAATCATAGTTCAAAGCTAAAACAGTAAAATATTTGTACAGTAACTAAGGCAAAAACAAAAAGGTCAAGACATAAAAAACAAAAAAAATGTTTTTCCATCAGAATTTAGGCTGGATTAAATTTATAAAGAGTGCACTAAAGTTCAAGCTCAGGGTGTTTGGGTTGCTCTGTGGAAATACAGAGACAGTTTGCAACCCAATCCAAGGAAAAACTATATTTGCTGTTTCTGTGTGTCACATACTCCCAGATTTTAAATTACTTGGTAAAGGTGAGCTAATAAAAGGACTTGGTTCAGGTTAGGAAAACATCAGGGGGTTTGGACGATTCCCACATGAAAATATCCTGTTACTGAATTACCGCTTACAGAGATCTGACCACGCTGCAGAATAAATAAAAGGAGCTACTTAACACAAAACTTTGAAGGCTGCTCTGGATGGAAGATGAGTCATTATCTGACTACCTCCTGTTTTACCATGAGGTCAGACTGATTACCTTCAAAATTCAGTTCATTCATTATGGCAGGGGGTTTGGGGGAAGGGTTTTTAATTTGGTGAGTACTTTTATTCATCAATATCAAAAAGGATAAAAACCTTTGAAGATACCTAATAAAACTAGAGATATTGATTACTTATTTAACTATAATTGCACTTTTTTGATGTGCTTAAAATCTGCATTTTCAATATGTATATATACATATATATATATATTTTTTTTCCCCCAGCGTTTTGTTGTCATTACAGTTTCACAATTACAGAGCAACGAAACGAAATTCACTCCCCAAATTTTTGTAAATGTATGTATTAAAAAACTATTAATGTATGTAAAAGGATCTCTCTTTTTTTATTATTTATTGATGATGAAGGTATAGAAAGCCATCCTTTTTTATGATCAACACTTTAATGCACTGGTGTTGTCTATATTAAACGAAAAAAAAAAAAATTAAACATTAACTTGAACAAAACACAGGAATCAGAGAATAAATATCAAAAGTCGCTCTTGAAAAACACAAACCTACATTCATTCAGTTTTTATGTCAGATCTTATAAACACCCCTTATTATCATAAAGCAAAAAGTATGAAAGGATTTGATTATTTTACTTTAGAATAAAGCAGGTTGGGACACATACTTTTGCATGTTACTGATTTATTATATGGATAACTTCCAGGAGCAGATACTCTATACTTCAACAAGTATACTTGATCTAGTCATCTGCTGATCAGCTTTGCTCTCACCCATGTTGTTTGCCTCTGTGCTGTAAGGTTAAACCTGTGCTAACATGGGACATTAAATAGTCCCATCTATCACAGGAAAATGAGACAGCAGACCTTCCCCCTTCTCTATCTTTACTCTCTGCACCGTCTCAAGACAGCTCCTCTGCCTCAACACATTCACACACTTATGGTACAAACTTCTGCTAACTTCTCCACACAGGTATCCTTTCTTTATTATTCTTAGCGAACAAGGGGGCCCTTTAGAGTCTGTGTAATTTATCCAGTCTCATTTGGACAGGAAAAAAAATAAAATCCAAAAATGAATCGATTGGAGTGAGAAGGTCGTTGTGGTTTAAAGCCTTAGAGCCGCAGGCTTTCCTGAGCGGGCTGAATGTGGAAAGAAGGCCAGAGGGTCATGAGGAGGCCCTTTCAGTTCGGGGTCTGTTTGACACCAGGGAAAACAGAGATCCATCAGTAGGGCCTGTTATAAACCCAGCATTCCTTCACTTTGTTCCCTTCTTAGCTATTTACTGGCTTGCAGTTCTGAAATATTTTGGCTTCACGGCACTCAAAAAATTCAGGATTCTTTTCTTTTTATTCGAATTTTAGGTTAGGAAGCTAAAATAAATATCCTGCATATGAGGAAAATGGTGTATAGAAGCTGAGTCATGTACCACAAATGTTTATAGTTAAAGCTCTACATGTTCTTGATGCTTATTACTGGGCAAACACAGCAGTGCTTTAGAAAGCATGTGTTTTACCTGGTATGTCTGTCTTATCCTACATATGTTAGCCTTATAGATTATGTTACTGCATGTGGAGTTTATTGTAGCAAGCTGTGAGGATAAACGCATTTAAACAGTCAATCCCTAAGCTCATGGAGAATAAATTTTCATTATTAATAGTCAAACCTTAGCTCTGACAAAATGTTGTAAAGCTTTAGATTTTTTAATTAAATGCTGTGATGTAAAAAAAAAAAAGGTTTTGGGTTTAATTTCCAATAGTTTCCTTGAATTACTTAAGGATAATTTTAACAGGGACAAAAAAAAAATACAAGTATTATTTAAAAAAAGGATACTTGCCATCTTAAAGGTTTCGTTAGTTTTTGATTTTTTGTCACACCAAAAGGTTCAAAACATCCAACAAATAAAAATAATGGCCAAAAGTATCCAGTGAACATAAAAAAATCTGTTTTTGAAAGAAAGACATGATCCAAACCCACCTGGCTCTGAGTGAAAAGATAAAAATAAATGTAACCTGCTTTAACAAATGTCTGGTTGTGTGATCCTAGACAGAGGCCCCGTCCACACAAAGACAAACCCCGGCCTAAACGCACAAATTTTTCACCGAACCAGCCTCTCATCCATACAAAGCCGGCGTTTCGGGGGTCTGTAAACAATCTTTTTTTTATTAGGCCTTCAGAGTGGGAAGATTTTGAAACGCCGTTTTCGCGTTCCATCTTTAAGCTCTAACCGCATTTTTTTTTTTACACGCATGCGTCATAGCGTCGCCTCTAAACACGCATGCGCAACACAACACAACAATGGCGTCGTACTGTGTTGAATGGTTGCTGCTCATGCTACTCACCCTGCTGTCGGGCTTACAACAGAATCTTCTTCTTCTTCTGGAATATCTCCAGGAAGAACAGAGCAATATCGACGACATAGTTCAGCACCTGAATTTGACTGAACCACGAAAATGGACTCGCAGGGCAACCATGTATAAATATTAGTGCGCATGCCCAACATTTCGTCACCTATTTTTGCTTTGGCACCACAGCGCCACTTACAGGCCTGGCATACATTTTGCAGCGTTTTCATGCATTCGTGTGGACGATCACATTTATTTTACGTCTCCGTCTTTACGACAAACGTTCTGGAAAATATTAGAGTTTCGTGTTCGTTTTGACTTTGTGTGGACGGGGCCAGAAGCATTTCCAGCTACACTGTAGGGTTTTTACTGTGATTATTCAGGTTAATGCTAATGCCACGTTGCCTGATTCAGATTTTGCTCTTGACTTTGACTAGGCCACTTCAGATTATTCATTAAAATCTTTCCAAGCAATTCCAGCAGAAGGAGTTGGTAGTTGCCTACGATCATTACTCATTCTGGTCATCCGTAAGAACTTCTTCTAATTTCACAGACTGACTGGCCAGACATAAACTTTTAGGTCGGTGTTTTTTTTATGTGGTTTCTGATGTACCACTCCCTCCAGTGATAAAGTTCCCTTTTGTTTCATCCATTAACCGAATGTTTAGAAGAGATTCATGGGATCAAAATTGTGTTTTGACAAATATCACAAAGTGCCTCTTAAAACTAAATACTTATTTATGTTTGACATCTGGCTGTTTAGAAAGATTCTTACTTTAGTGTTTGCTGATTATTTTTCACTGACATAATCATAATTGGTTTTTTGCTTTTAAAATATTTTTACATTTTGTTATGATCTGCCGTTAGGAGCTTGGAGTATTTTCTTGGGTTCTTGGGTTGTCGTGTACCACTTTTCTGGGACTGGGTCGCGGAAGCAGAGGAAGAGATTCCAAGACACCTCCTCCAGCTCCTCTGCTGGAAGCCCAAGGCATTACAGGGCCATTCTGTCATGGATGGACAAGATCCTCAACCTATCTCTAGGGAAAATCCCGGCTATCCTGTGATGAAAGCTAATTTTTTCCAGTGCATCTTTTTCTTTTGGTCATGCTCTAGATTTCATGACCATAGGTGAGGGTAGGAACATAGGCTGACAAATAAATTCTCCCTTCATATATGAGCAAGACCCCAAGATACTTGAGCTCTTTCACTTGAGGCAATATCACTCCTCTGACCTGAAGAGAGAAAGACTCCCTTTTCAGGTTATGGACCATTGACTGAGACCTGGAGGAGTCTGTGGTTTGGGCTTGGTTGCAGACTGCCCCAGAGCATGCTGTAGCTATTGGCACAAGAGAGCCAGATACACTCTGGCCCTTTATAGAAATCCTGTACATACAGATTATGAACAGGTGCTGTGACTGAGGGCAGTCCTGTCGAACTCCAACAAGCACTGGGAACAGGATTTATAGCTGCCAAAATAAGGTGAAATTCCACTTTTCACCTGTTCAAGTGTCCATGGATCAGGTCTCCTCTGACTGCTGCCAATCCCTATTAGCATTGGTCCGTCTTGGTCCCCCAAGGTCTACAGGGGGATAGCGAGGCATCTCTTGTTTTGGCTTGGCCCTTCTGTGCATCAGGAGGATAAACTCCCCAATTGACCCCAAACCCTTTGCCTGGGCCCAGAGCTAGGCTCCACTGTACTGGATGATGTCACTGTCCCTTTTTTTTCCAAGTCATCATGGCTTTTAAACTTCTCTTTGTCTTCCCATCACCCAGAGACTGTGTGCCTTGCGAGACCCTACCAGGGGCATTTAAGCCGTGGACAACTTAGCTTCTGGGATCAACCCGACCACCATTGGTGATTTAAGGTGGGTCATATTCGAAGGTTTTACATGGAAACATATTTTATCTGGCTGTTCAGTGGCACTGCTACCTTGCAGCAAGAAGGTTCCGGGTTCAATTCCCTACCCGGGGTTTTTCTGCATGGAGTTTGCATGTTCTCCCTGAGCATGCGTGGGTTCTTTCTGGGTACTCAGGCTTCCTCTTACTCTCCAAAAACATGACTGTTTGGTTAATTGGCTTCTCTAAATTCTCCTTCGGTGTGAGTGTGTGCATGAATGGTTGTTCACGATGGACTGGCAACCTGTCCAGGGTGGACTTCACCTCTCGACGGTAGAGAGCTGGAGATGGGCACCAGCACCCCTCCTGACCCCAGCTGGGATAAAGCGTGACAGACAATGGATGGATCTATCACCCTTTGCAAACACACCCTGTGTGCCACAGATTCACTCCCACCTGCAACATTTGAGATGTGGCTCAAAGACCTGGTAGCAGGGAAGAAAGATATGTGAAGCCATGCTTTCACCCATCAGTTTCATCAGCTGCTCCACAGAGACTTTTGAAAATACGATATGATCTCCTGATTGTCTGCTTTCAACATTTCTGAGCTGTGTTTTCTCCATGTTTTGTCAAATTCAGACAAAGTCTAACTTACCTGTAGAGTACAAGTAACAAATAGGATTGCCAAATGTTGATTACTAACATTAAACACTGCCTGTGTGAACACTTCCATACATTCAAGGAAAATCTCCATTTTGTGTTTTTTTCCCCCCAAATTTCTAATTTCTCAATGACAATATATTTAACATATAGTAATATAGTATGGCTAGTAACATTCATGGGATGTCTGTGGCTTAAGAAGGACAGTAGTTGGCTTGCAATCCAAACATGTTGTTGATTTGATTCCAGCCTCATCCTGGTAGAAAAGTGCTGAGTCAAGTCTCTAAAGCCCAAGTTGTCTGTGAACTGCTGTCTGAATATGAGAGTGTTTCTGAGTAAATATAACTAAACAAAGATCAATATGAGTTTATTCCTTTCACCATTTAATTCTCATGCTAAATTTTCATATAGCTTTTGCTGAGCTATTCCTATTTGTACTCACTGTAACCACTTTAAGAAATGACTGATACTCAACTTGTAGTTGATTAAGATTTGACTATCAATTAAATTCAGTTTATTTATATAGCGCCAAATTCACAACACATGTCATCTCAAGGCACTTTACAGTTCAACCAGATCATACAGTCAAATTGATACAAAGTTTTCTATCTAAGGAAAACCAGTTGATTGCATTGACTCATTGACTCAAATACAATCCCCCACACTAAGCATGCTTGTAGCGACAGTGGAGAGGAAAAACTCCCTTTTAACAGGAAGAAACCTCCAGCAGAACCAGGCTCAGTGTGAGCGGCCATCTGCCGAGGCCGACTGGGGTTCAAGGAGACAGAAACAGAGATACAAAAAGCAGCTGTAAAAGGCGGCCCCGTCCAGGAAACACACAGCCAGGCAGACGAGCTCCAAGGCAGCTCCCATGCCAGAGGACGAAGAGAGCACATCCACTCAGTCACGGCCAGAGAAACAGGACCACACTGGAAAACAGGCCGATCTCCAACATCTATAAACAAGGGTGTTGATGGAAGCAGCACAGCTGATGTTTCTTTCCAGGATGACGTCACAGCCAAACAGGAACAGATGAGGCAAAGCTACTCTGAGGAAAAGCAGAGAGAGCAGAAGGTTAGAGATTGAACTAACAGATTCTGCAGAATAGGAGAACAGAGAGAGAATGAAGCAGAATGATGAAATGGGGGTCCCTATGTCCTCCAAAAGTCTAAGCCTATAGCAGCATAACTATAGAGATAGCTCAGGATAACCTGAGCCACCCTAACTATAAGCTTTATCAAAAAGGAAAGTTTTAAGCCTAGCCTTAAAAGTAGACAGGGTGTCTGCCTCACGGACTAAAACTGGTAGTTGGTTCCACAGGAGAGGAGCCTGATAACTAAAAGATCTGCCTCCCATTCTACTTTTAGAAATTCTAGGAACCACTAGTAAACCTGCAGATTGAGAGCGAAGTGCTCTGTTAGGAACATAAGGAACAATCAGATCTCTGATATAAGATGGTGCTTGGCCATTTAAGGCTTTATATGTGAGAAGGAGGATTTTAAATTCTATTCTTGATTTAACAGGAAGTCAATGAAGAGAAGCCAGGATAGGCGAGATATGATCTCTCTTTTTAATTTTCATCAGAACCCTGGCTGCAGCATTTTGGATCAGCTGAAGGCTTTTAACTACAGTTTGTGGACTTCCTGATAGTAAAGAATTACAATAGTCCAGCCTTGAAGTAACAAATGCATGGACTAGTTTCTCAGCATCACCCCTGGACAGGATATTTCTAATTTTTGCAATGTTCCTCAGATGAAAGAAGGAAATTATAGAAACCTCTTTGATATGGGATTTAAATGACAGGTCCTGATCAAAAATAACACCAAGATTTTTTACTTTATTATCTGAAATCAGTTTAATCCCATCCAAATGAAGTGACTGGCTAATCAGTTTCTTTTTCAGAGACTCTGGTCCAAAGACTATAACTTCTGTTTTATCTGCATTCAGAAGCAGAAAGTTAAGAGTCATCCAGGTTTTTATGTCTTCAAGACATGCCTGTAATCTATGTAATGGGTTAGCTTCATCTGGATTTATAGACAGATATAGCTGGGTATCATCAGCATAACAGTGGAAATTAATCCCATGCTGTCTAATAATTCTACCAATTGGGAGCATGTATAAAGTAAAGAGAATTGGTCCTAGCACTGATCCCTGTGGTACTCCACAGGTAACCTTTGAGCGTGTTGAAGATCTATCATTAACATGAACAAACTGAATTCGATCAGATAGATAAGATTTAAACCAGTCTAGTGCTGTTCCTTTAATTCCAACAAAATATTCAAGTCTTTCTAAAACAATATTATGGTCAACTGTATCAAATGCAGCACTAAGATCCAACAGGACGAGCACAGATACAAGTCCATTATCTGAGGCCATGAGAATATCATTAGTGACTTTCACCAGAGCTGTTTCAGTGCTATGATGAGCTCTAAAGCCAGACTGAAACTCTTCAAAAAGTTCATTATGGTGTAAGTGATCGCAAACTTGTTTGGCAACTACTTTCTCAAGAATTTTGGATAAGAAAGGAAGATTGGATATAGGTCTATAATTGACCAAGTCATCTGGGTCAAGAGACGGTTTCTTAAGCAGAGGTTTAATTACAGCAACCTTAAAAGCTTTAGGTACATATCCCTGTAACAGAGATAGATTAATCACATCTAAAATGGAGGAGGAGATCAAAGGGAATACCTCCTTAAATAACCTGGTTGGAACTGGATCTAACATACAAGTTGAAGGCTTAGATGAAGACAATAATTTTGCTAATTCAGAGTTCAACTGGATCAAAGCAGTCTAAACCCGGTTCAGATTCCATGACTACCTCAGGTACAATCGCGGATAGAGGAGTGCTTATGATCTTATTTTTAATAAGATCAATCTTATTTATAAAGAATCCCATAAAATCATTGCTGCTAAGAGCAGGTGGAATGGACGGTTCAACAGAGCTATGGCTCTGGGTGAGTTTGGCAACTGTATTAAAAAGAAATCTAGGATTATTCTTATTCTCCTCTATTAATGAGGAGAAGTATGCTGCTCTTGCTTTACAAAGGGTCCTCTTATACAGCAGTAAACCATTTTTCCAGACTAGGAAGGACTCTCGCAGGCCTGTGGAGCGATATTTTCTCTCCAGTTTCCTAGCATTTTGCTTCAAAGTACGCAGCTCTGCATTAAACCAAGGAGCAAGCTTTCTATTTTTAACGGTTTTCATTTTCAAAGGAGCTGCGTTGTCTAAGGCAATACGCAGAGAACTAGCAACCCCATCAACAAAATCATCAACCTGTGAAGGGGAATAATCTAAGCTTTTGCACTCTGCAGCACTGCTCAGTGACACAGAGGAGAGAGAAAGTGAAGCAGATTCTTTAAAATTTTTAACTGCACTATCTGATAAAGATCTACTAAAATTGAACCTTCTTTTGGGGGAGGAGAACTCTGTTAAAGTAATCCTGAAGGTTATTAGAAAGTGGTCAGAGAGGACAGGGTTGTGAGGAAATACTGTTATTTCTTCACATTCTATGCCGTATGTCAGCACAAGATCCAAAGTATGAAGATGAGAATGCGTGGGACTATTCACATTTTGAACAAAGCCAACAGTGTCTAAGATAGCATTAAAGGCTGCTCTTAAGCTATCGCCTTCAATGTCAGCATGGATGTTAAAATCTCCCACTATGATGACCCTGTCAGTATTTAATACCAAATCAGAAAGGAACTCTGAAAACTCATCTAAAAATTCAGAGTAAGGACCTGGTGGACGATACAAAGTTACAAAAAGAAGAGGTTTTCTTGCCTTGAAATTTGGATCAGGGAAATTAAGGGTTAAATGTTCAAAAGAGTTGTAGGTATTAATTGTTTTGGGAGTAATCAGTAAGTCAGACTGGAAGATTGTTGCTACTCCTCCTCCTCGCCCAGAACTTCTGGGGATGTGAAAATTTAAATAGCTTGAAGGAGTTGCCTCATTTATGCTCACATAATCCTCTTGCTGCAGCCAGGTTTCTGTAAGGCAAAACAAGTCAATGTGATTATCACAAATCAAGTCATTAACTAGTAGACTTTTAGAGGAAAGCGATCTTATGTTAAACAGACCGCATTTAATTGTTTTAACTTTTTCCCCAATTGGAGTTATTTTGATTTTAATTAGATTATCATGATTTACTCCTTTGGGAATCTTTGCTAATTTATTAGATTTTGGTCGTGGGCAAGACACTGTCTGGATGGAGTAAAGAGTGGGTAACAGTAGAGAAGCTGCAGAGATGTGTGTTAAACTACAACTCTGCTTCCTGGTCTGCACCCTGGGTGGTCAGGGTTTTGGAGGACTAATAAATGTGGCCAGATTCCTAGAAAGAAGAGCTGCACCATCCAAAGTGGGATGGATGCCGTCTCTCCGAATAAGACCAGGCTTTCCCCAAAAGGATTGCCAATTATTAATGTCACTATCAGTATCAATACTTTCACTCAAGTACTACTGTTGAGTTCTTAGTCCACCAATGGTCTTTGTTTGCAAACTCATATCTGGACTCCCTCCCAGCCTGCAGCAGGTTACTGAACAGTAGCACAGAAAGCAGGTTGCATCATCGGTTTTGATGGTTGGGGCAATAATCCGCCGTGTTGTGATATGTCTTTCATTGAATGCATGACAGTATAGGCCTACTAGATAGCTTATTCATTGACTTGCTGCTGTACAATTCAAAACTGAGCTTTATCATAGGTCATCATTTTGAATAGTTTTCAGACTATAACCCTCACTGCTTCTAAGAAACACAATTAAATCAGATTAGATTTCTGCACAGAACTTTAGTGCAAATAAAACATCTTGTCATGTCTTTCTGAGAGAAGTTATTATTTTAATATAGTCAAGGCTTTACCTGGTCAAATAAAGGTAAAGGTAATAAAAAAGGTACTTAATATCAAAAAATCTACACCTTACTTTTTTTTTACTTGACACATGACACAACAAAAGAGAGTTGGGTAAAGCTATGCATTCAAAAAAGAAAATTCGATGTTATACATTTTGAAGCAAAAGATACGTTCATCTAAACATTTCATTGTTAATCTGAGCACTGAGAGATAGAAGATAGTAATTCTTGTTTATCCTAGAAAAAATCATCAAACTTAAGCAGAAAGTTGCTGCTTGGTGTTACAGAAGATATTTCCAAAGGTTCTGAGTACTGTACTGTCACAATATTTTAGTGCAATTACATAGAAAGTTGTCCTACCTTTAAATAATATGCAGGTAGGTAAAAGCAAGTCAAGGAATAAATATGCAAACCTAAAAGATACCAACAGATTAACTTGCAAACAAATCCAGATAAAAAAATCACATACACTCTTGCAGGTAAAAGACACCTTTGATTTAGTCAAAGTGCTATAGTCAGAGGTCTGTGTGTTTTCCCAAAAGTAGGGAAATCATAAAAAATCAGTGCTGCTAAATTACTGTCACTCAAAGAGTTTCTTTCTTCCTCTCCCCGTCTCTATTCACCTCTCCTCCCACCAGCCCCACAGTCTCCAACTCTTTCCTGCTTCCACCAGCAGCAATGGGGGCTTTCTCTTGTTTCCTGGTGCTGGCGCTGCTGGATAAACACACAGCCTTCCTCTCATATAAAGGCTCAATTCTTCTCCATCGTGCCTAAAATATGGATACAAAGAGAAACTTGTATGATAATTTTTGGCATATGGTGGTGGGGGTCAGCGGGTGGGTTATGTGTGTGTATAAGGGAGCATAGTGCTGGCTAGACAAAGTTTTGCCTTGTTCTGATACTTGTCTAAACTTTCAAGGTTTTGTTTTATACAGGATCAGACCAATGCCATCTGACAGATTGGCTGAGTGCAGTGCTCGAGCAAGTCTGAAAACGTCCAATCCAGAGAGCACTTGGCTCCCTTCTGTCTTCGGCTGATAAGTGGTGTCATGGTATGCTGCCGGATAAAGCACCACTGTTATGGAATTAGGTGTCAAATGGAAAAACTGAGCAAGCAGAGATTAAATAAAGACATAATTTACTAAATTTAATCGAAGGAGATCGTTGGACTGTGTGGACCAACAGAGCTGTCTTTCATCTTTGATTCTGAGATGCAGCCACAGAAACGGAGCCAGCTGGAACATGCCGGGGATGACACAAGTACCCTGGATGATACATATGGTCTGCTGATAGCCTGCAGATCACCTTACTGCCCAGCAGACATGCGGCAACTACAGGCCGCAGAGGAGGGTGGCATTACCCTCCTTGGATACTTTAAAGACCAACAGCTTAAGGTGATTCTACAAAGTGGCTCCTAATGTTAAAATAAATTAGCTGTTGCTCCCATGAAGGAATACAGGTGCTGGTCATAAAATTAGAATATCATGAAAAAGTAGATTGATTTCAGTAATTCCATTTAAAAAGTGAAACTTGTATATTATATTCATACATTACATACAAACTCATATATTTCAGATTTTTATTTTGTTTAATTTTGATGATTACAAATGACAACAAATGAAAATCTCAAATTCATCATATCAGAAAATTAGAATATTACTGAAGACCAATAAAAACAAAGGATTTATAGAAGTGTTGGCCAACTGAAAAGTATGAACATGAAAAGTATGAGCATGTACAGCACTCAGTATTTAGTTGGGCCTCCTTTGGCCTGTATTACTGCAGCAATGCGGCGTGGCATGGAGTCGATCAGTCTGTGGCACTGCTCAGGTGTTATGATAGCCCAGGTTGCTCTAATAGTGGCTTTTAGCTCTTCTGAATTGTTGGGTCTGGTGTATTGCATCTTCTTCTTCACAATACCCCATAGATTTTCTATGGGGTTAAGGTCAGGAGAGTTTGCTGGCCAATTAAGAACAGGGATACCATGGTCCTTCAACCAGGTACTGGTAGCTTTGGCACTGTGTGCAGGTGCCAAGTCCTGTTGGAAAATGAAATCTGCATCTCCAAAAAGTTGGTCAGCTGCAGGAAGCATGAAGTGCTCTAAAACTTCCTGGTATGTGGCTGCGTTGACCCTGGACCTCAGAAAACACAATGGACCAACACCAGCAGATGACATGGCACCCCAAACCATCACTGACTGTGGAAACTTTACACTGGACTTCAAGCAACGTGGATGAAGTGCCTCTCTTCTTTTCCTCCAGACTCTGGGACCTTGATTTCCAAAGGAAATGCAAAATTTACTTTCATCAGAGAACATGACTTTGGACCACTCACCAGCAGTCCAGTCCTGTTTCTCTTTAGCCCAGGCAAGACGCTTCTGACGCTGTCTGTGGTTCAAGAGTGGCTTGACACAAGGAATGCGACAGCAGAAACCCATGTCTTTCATACGTCTGTGTGTGGTGGTTCTTGAAGCACTCACTCCAGCTGCAGTCCACTCTTTGTGAATCTCCCCCACATTTTTGAATGGGTTTTGTTTCACAATCCTCTCCAGGGTGCGGTTATCTCTCTTGCTTGTACACTTTTTTCGACCGCATCTTTTCCTTCCCTTCGCCTCTCTATTAATGTGCTTGGACACTGAGCTCTGTGAACAGCCAGCCTCTTTAGCGATGACCCTTTGTGTCTTGCCCTCCTTGTGCAAGGTGTCGATGGTCGTCTTTTGGACAACTGTCAAGTCAGCAGTCTTCCCCATGATTGTGTAGCCTATAGAACTAGACTGAAAGACCATTTAAAGGCTTTTGCAGGTGGTTTGAGTTAATTAGCTGATTAGAGTGTGGCACCAGGGGCCATCAATTTTGAACCTTTTCACAATATTCTAATTTTCTGATATGATGAATTTGAGATTTTCATTTGTTGTCATTTGTAATCATCAAAATTAAACAAAATAAACATCTGAAATATATGAGTTTGTATGTAATGTATGAATATAATATACAAGTTTCACTTTTTAAATGGAATTACTGAAATCAATCTACTTTTTCATGATATTCTAATTTTATGACCAGCACCTGTATAGGATGTCAATTTCTAATCAGTCATACCTTACAAATTGAATAAACTTGTATTATAGATAGATTAGCAAGTAAAATGTATCCTACATTATTAAATGTATGTATAGTAACTCAAAATGACTAAAACATTGCCAACATCCAAACAGGCATGGGTTAGTAAATGATTCTTTCAGTATGATAACCTTAATCATAACATTTCCATATTAAAATATTTCATTTAACTCTTCCTACTTTTCAAAAGTTCGGCATATTAATTAAAGACATTTAGTTTGTATCTTCCTTTTTACAAATCAAGAGATGTATGTTTTCTCTATCCATATACAGACACAATATTTTTTGTGTAAATTGAAAGATTGCACTAATTAGAAGGAACTGTCTTAAATGTAAGAATGTGAATTGGCATTGACAATCACTGTTTGTTACACGAAACTCTGTAAATGCAGGGCTAATAAGAACACCTTTGGATAAACTCAATGGCTCAAAACAGCAGGTCTAGCAAATCTTTGTTTTTTTTTCAGGAGATCAAAGCCACTTTTAAAGTTTCTGGTGTCCATTTCAAAGGAATATTTCTAAATAAACCTGCTCTTGACGTTTAAAGCATGCTTAGAAATCTTCGCAAACTTTACTAATATCTACAGTAGTTTTAGGTACCTCATCCTCATCTTTAAAATCCACATGTAAATATGCCAGAATTATCTATAACGGCTGATCTTCATCTGTAGTTCCAGGGCAGGTTTATGTTTACAAAATGGATGGCAAATTCAAAAATGGTATATTCACCATAATCTTTGTCCTGGCCTGTTTCATGAGTCTAATTTTTTTAATCATTTAGTTAAAGCATGGTTAAAAAGAAATTTCTGACTTTCATTGGTTTATTTTCATAGATTTGATTATTTATTATCACTTTTCTCAGAATAAAGTCATTTCTGTGACCATTTTTTTCATTAAACTAGGGGTACAAACCGTTTTTTCCAGGAGTATAGCTTCTTTCCGTTTTAATATTCCTTGCCAAAAGCTTTCTAGCTTTTTCCCCAATCTCATAAAAGCTAATCTTCATTCTAAATAAGACCTTGTTACCTCTACCAAGGCGGTTGTGTTTTTAGTCTAGTTTATGTGTGTGTGTGTGTGTTTGTGTGCCTGTGTAAAGTATAACTTGAATAGTTATGAACAGATTTTAATGACATTTTTACCAAAGTGCACCTCAGCCCAAGGAACAATTCATTAAATTTAGGCGATGACCCGTATCACCATCTGGATCGAGGAATTTTTTTGAAAGATTCTGTAAATACAGGTCTTTACTTTAGATCACAATATGTCAGGGAAAATTAGCTACTTGCTGTTGCTGGAGGTCTGCACTCTTAGAGGGCTTTTCCAATTTTTCTAGTTTATTTGAGATTTGATATCATAAATCTGTTTCAGAATTGCATTTATTTGCCAAAGCCTTGAGCTCTGCTTACTTCCACTTTCAACACAAATTTGAATTGTTCTAATTTTCTCCTTCCACACTATGCCGATTCACTCAATAGATCTCATACTGTATACCCCTCTTAGCGTCTCCAACCAAATGACTTGAAATGCTCACCCAAATTCAATTAGATATTATTTTGAACCGTTTGGAGTAGATACAATTAAAGTAGTATTGAAGTTGTAAAACACATAAATAATGATTTTTAATTTTTTTCTTGTTTTTAAATATTTTCCTTGTCATGCAGCCGAAGGCTGATAGAATGGAGCAGTGGTTAAAGAGAGATTTAAAGGAGAGACGTGTTTTCAATGACAGACTCAACATTGGAGTCAATTGAAACAGAAATGACTATTCTTGACATGTTTCTCCATACTGTAGGTATGTTAAGTAGCTTTCTTGGAGTTATCCAAATGTAACCAAACTGTGCCAAACTGGAGAAGGCCAAGACATGCCAACTTGAATAGGCTGTTGCTCCTGTTTTCTTCTACACAGAGACATGAGTGAGGGCTTTAATGAAACATCATTTCCAGAGGAATCATGTTCTCTGCCAACATGACTAAAATAGTTTAGAGGAGCAGAGCACAGGATCTATTTAATTGAGATTTTTATATATTTTTCTTTACCCATGGCAAATCTCCATTTTTTTGCTGTGGTTCAAGAAAGGATATTTTTGTCTATCCATGTTTGAACAGAGCTGTTTATTTTGACACCATCGAACAATAGCAACTACAACCAATACAACAACCAAACACTAAACATATTACTTTTACAGGAAAAATGTTGGAAAATGCTTATTTCTTGAATATAGCCACTATCTTATTAATAGAAAGTAAACTATAGAAAATGTATGAAACACTGAATGCAAGACTTTTGAACTTCCTGGATATGCTTAAAACTTAAAACCTGATCTTTTAATGTTTTTAATTAGTTTAAATTTATTTAAAAAATTCATAAGAAATGTAAAAATTTTCAGTTTTTTTCTTATTTTTCGCAAGGACTCCTGCATGGCAGTTCCAGCCTGAAAGAAAGCATCAGGATGAGCATATGTAGCTGTGGCAATTTGCCCTAAATTGCAAGCATCTGTTCAAACGTATCCTTTAAAATCCCTAATTCATAGTTCAGTTAGGTTGGCCTGCTTGTAATCTAAATATACCATGATCTCCATTTAATTCTAGATCCCAGAATCTGTCTCACCACTAAGCCACCGTTTCTTGCTGAGATAATCTATATCAATATAAATAAAATATAAAATTGCATTTTACAAACAAAAATGAAATCTGTTTATTCTGAGAAAATGGAAGGATTATGATGACAGGACAATCCTTCCAGGAAAGAGACAGAGAATAAAAACAGGCTTTAAATATTTTGTTGTTTAAACTGTGCATCCAAACTGAGACCATAAATGGGAGATTTTGGGAGAGCATAAAAGATCATTTTTATAAATCTGATACCAAAGTGGAAAAATCTGAGATTGCTGGTTTCCTGTCTCTGTCTCTATATGCGAGCTGCATCTTATTTAGCAAGCTCAACCTACATAACCTTTATCTGCCAATCAGGCCTTAGTCATTGAACAGGTTGAGCACACAGTTACATTTAAAAACCAAAGAAGCAACAAAAACCTCAAGAGACAGACCTTCTTCTTCTTCTTGATTACCACAATAGCATAACATTGTCTGGCCCTTGTGTAAAAATCCCTGTGCTAAACAAGCCTTATAAACTGAAGGTATGACTTTTCTCACTTCACTGTTCCCTGGACTAGACCAGGAATGCGAGTGCATCCTCAGACTGAGAACTAGGGCGGCAGAAATATTTTTTCAGGATTTTAAGCTCTAGAACCAAATTCCTGAACATGTGAAACATTTGACACCCTAAGATTTTATTTTACCGAAGCTTTCCTCTAGATTCAAAGCCGTTTTT